ATTCTGAGTCGGACACTCTATCGACTTAGCAAGCCTGGTCATTTCAAGAAAATGAAACTACCGATATTGTATTTAACATCGGCGAGAAGTAGCACAATCAGAGTGTTGCAGCCAACAACAAAGAAAAATATCAAACGGGGCTTAATGAGAAGCAAAGGTAGGTGCTCAAGAAAACTTGAAGACAGATAGCTACGCGCCACAGACTACTATTCAGATCCTTATTCATTAACACAAACTAAAGTTAAAAAATTGCCCAAGCAATCACATAATGACAATCCTTGGGGATTGCAGTCAACAAGGATTTGCCTCCAGTTACGAAAATGAATTTTGCTAATAATCAGACGAAATGTGTGCTACAGGACAAAAAATCGGTGCAGTGCCTAGTAATGGAACCGCGTATCTATGGCACAGAGAGCAGAAAAATTTTCCATTACACCTATGCTTGCCCGTAGATACAACATAATCAATTAAATAGCGCACTAAACGCGCCGGCGTAAAATCATCTGAGACCTGCTTAAACGGCCCCCTAGATGTCTAGAAGTAAGGGGTGATGCAATATTGCCCAAAACTCCCGTGTAACATTTACTACGACAGCACTGTGGTGCAAACGAAAATAAACAAAACCTTGCGAAGAAGCGTTCACAGCGCTGTTACGAAAGTTATCTAAACAGCTTGAACAAAGTCCCAAAAACATACCGAATATTTTTGTCCGGGTTCAACAGGAAGCGTCCCAAAATATTGATCGCCAACACTCGAAGACCACTCTCGGAATGAATATCCATTATTGTCAGAACAGTTTCGTAGAGAATCGCGTTGCCGACGTTTTTACTGCTCTCTGTATTTGTAGCCACCTGAAAAATATAGGCTACGAAGCCATCAGTTAAACATCTTCATTTTCGGTATCCCAAGGGGGCAATAGGAAAAAATTGCTCTTCATTAAACCTATATCCCAACATAACGTAAGCAGCACCAATCATAAAATCAGTTCGGGAGTCTACATAATAGGGAATGACTTGGAGCAACGACGAAATTACTTGCATATCACGACGAGGTGCGGTAAAGCCTGTTCTGATCGCGAACTCAGAAACGCTCTGTCAACTAAGCAGTGGAGTCGTAAGATAACTCATCCTCGCACGCACATACAGCAAATCTGCCTAGAAGAAAACCAAAAAAACTTCTGTCACTTTCCGTAATTGTCACACTGAGAAGTCGATGTCCAGTACATTTGTTTTGGTGTAGCCCCCTTCTTTAAGCGCATAACTCATACAAACCGAGTTTCTTGCGCACAGCACAGCCTTCTAGCACCGCGCCGCGATGCCTAGGAAGCCAATAAAAGGATGGCAAGACGCTTCTATGCAACCGTAAAAGCACCGCAACTACTACAGCAGGATAAAATCATGACCTAAGAGTAGTGAAGATTTCTCATACGCCATGAGGTCGAAATGTGTATAGAACTGCCCATAGAACTGCATAGTCGGTAGAGTGTAGGGCTCACAGAGGAGAGGTCGACTGAGGCTGCAATTGAAGTCGATCACTTTTTGTCCTTCAGAGGTAGAAAAAAGAGTAGCACTTCACGGGAAGGAAACTCGAGACTACAAGTAATTATGATTACCCAGCTGTAAATATTGTCATAAAGGAACTACAATAAGGCACCGTTGGATGATAACAGAAACGGACATCAGTCACGTGCCATATGCTAATTGATAATGTACTCAAAATGTAGCAATTCAAGACGTGTAACGGAGGCACAGGTCCCACTGGTTGTAGAGAACATTTTTTCTTTCCGTACGCCTTTAAATCAGATTTGGAAGAAAGTTATGCATTTGCAAACATTTCAGGCGTAACATTACAGTCTTCATAATTTTCTTCCTAGAAAAGAGAGCTACGATTTTTTTTGTGGAAAACGTTGCATAAATTAATATAACTCCTTCCGATCGATG